TGGTGTTGATGCTGATGATGATTATGATGACGATGATGCTGATAATGATGATGATGATGATGATGATGATGATGATGATGATGATGATGATGATGGTGACGATGATGTCATGATGATGCTACTCCACCCCCCGGGGGATTCTTTGCGCTTGTGGTCACCTTCCTTTTCGTACACCTTCATTCGTTTCATTTCTCTACGGCAGCGGCAGTTGCCGACGGGGGAGGGGATGAGTGACTGCGTTTATTCAAGAACTCTGATGGCAGCAGCCCGCCAAGGAGGAGGACGAGGAGAAGGGGGGAAGGAGGGCCGGGGCCGCGTTCCCGACCGTAGCCCATGTCTCAGGCGATCGCAAACATGGATTAAGGGGGCGTGGCTTAGCGACAGGTCTCGTTTTCATGAGAAATCGCGGGTTTCCGCCGCCGAGCGAGATGGCACCGGCCGCATGTTGGGCAGGGCACATCCCCCGATTCATGGATTTGGCGACCGCGCGCCAAGTCCATGGATCGCTAATCGATGTTTGCGCGCCCCCGAAGGAGGGCGGGGGCCGCGTTCCCGACCGTGGCCCCTGTCAGCGTTCGTCCGAACACGTGGTGCGCGTATCTGGGTGCGGGCGCGAGCAGGTTCACCTGCACGGCGCCGCCAGCTCCGAGCGGGCCACGGGCTCGGCCCGCCTTGCCGTTGCATATTCATGATCTTCATCATCATGATCCTCATCATTGTCGTACTCATCATCACCATAATCATCACAAATCGCCATCCTCATCGTCATCATCACCATCATCGTCAATATCATCCTCTTTCTCATCCTCATCCTCATCCTCATCTTTATCCTTACCTCAACATCATTGCCAGCGTCGTCATCATCATCGTCGTGGTCGTCGTTGTCGTCATCACCTTCATCTTCATCCTCATCCTTCTCATCATCATCATCGTCCTCATCGTCATCATCGCTATCATTATCATCATCATTCTCATTCTAGTTTTTATCCCCATCATCAACCTCATCCTCATCTTTAGCATGAGCATCCTCCTCTCCCTCATCCAAATCCCCAACATCGGCATCAACATCAACATCATTCTCATCATCATCGCCATTGCCATCATTGTAATTATTATCCTCCTCATCACCATTATCATCATACTCATCACCACCGTCATCATCATCATAATCGTCACCGTCATCGTCATCATCATCGTCGCCATCATCACCATCATCATAATCATCATCATTATCGTCATCGTCATAGTCATCATCATTACCATCATCATCACCGTACTCATCATCATCGTCATCGTCACCGTCATCATCAGCATAATCTTTCTAATCATCGTCATCATCGTCATCATCATTAACATCGTTGCTGTCATTTTCCTCATTATCATCACCACCATCATCATTATCCTCCCCATCCTCATCCTCATCGTCATAGTTGCCACCGTCATTGTAATCATGGTCATCATCGTCACCATCATCATCATCGTCACCGTCATAGTCATCATCAGCATGTTCGTTACCGTCAGCGTCATCATCATCATCATCATCATCATCATGGTCATCTCAAGTATCATAATCATCATCTTGATTATCATCCCCCATCGTTTGCAGTCTCCGCATCATAATGATAGTCCTTATCCTCATCCTCATCCTCATCATCAGCATCACCATCATCATCACCATCATCATCCTCGCCACCATCACCATTACCATGTCCATCATCATCATACTCATTATCACCATCGTCAGTGTTACCGTAATCATCATCTCCGTCGTCACCGTGATCGTCATCGTGGTAAGTATCATCACCATCATCATCATTATCATCATCCTCATCATCATCGTCACCGTCATCGTCATCATCATTCTCCTCATCACCATTACCGGCGATATCATCGTCCCCGGCATCCTTCTCCTCGTCATTGCCATTTTCATCATCACCCACTTTTGCAGCATCAGCACCATCATCATCAGCAACGTCAGCATCATCAGCAACAGCAGCAGCATCAGCATCAGCATCATCATTGAAGCCACTATTACCATTACGATCATCACCATCATCAGCATCTTCGGCATCACCGTCCCCGTCATCGTCATCGTCATCATCATCGTCAGAATCATACCATCATCATCCTCCTCGTCAGCGTCAACGTCATCGTCATTACCATCATCGTCATCCTCCTTCCTTTCCTCCTTTCCTCCTTTCACATCGTCGTCATCGTCATGACGCCATTCTCCTTCCTTTCCCCCTTATCTCCATCATCTTAATTCTTATCCTCAGCATCAGCATCACAATCATCATCATTATCATCAATTAAATCATCAGCATCAGCATCAGCATCATCACCACCATCACCATTCTACCATTACCCTCATCATCATGGTCATCATCATGACCATCACCATCACCATCACCATCACCATCACCATCACCATCACCATCACCATCACCATCACCATCACCATCACCATCGCCATCGCCATCACCATCACCCTCACCCTCACCATAATCATCACCATCAGCATCACCATCATGATCACTGTCATCATCATCCTCATCATCATCGTCATTCTCATCATCGTCACTGTCATCGTCATCATGGTCACTGTCATCCTCATCGTCATCATCGTCGTCATCCTCCTCCTCCTCACCATCATTATGGTCATCACCGTCCTCAGCATTAGCATTAGCATCAGAATCTTGATCAACACTATAATTCACGATACCATCAGCAGCACAGCAGCATCACCCCCATCGCAATTTCCATCATCATCAGCACCATCGTCACCATCATCATCACTACATCATCATCGTCATCATCATCTGCATCGTGGTCCTCGTCATCAGCATCATCATAATCATCGTCATCATCATTATCGTCCCCGTCATCGTCATCGTCATCGTCATCGTCATCGTTTTCATCATCATCATCATCATCATCATCATCATCATCATCATCATCATCATCATCATCATCATCATTATCGTCACCGTCATCGTCATCAGCATTGGCGCTATCCTCTCTCCTTTTCCCTTATCTTCATCATCCTAGTCCTTCTCCTCAGCATCAGCATCACCATCATCAACATCATCATCACTTACATCATCAGTATCATCATCAGCATCATCACCACCATCACGATTACCATTACACTCATCATTACCATGATCATCATCATCATGACCTTGACCATCATCATCACCATCACCCTCACCATCATCATCACCATCAGCATCAACATCATCACATCATCATCGCCATTCTCATCAGCGTCATCATCATGATTACCACTACCATCACCATCACCATCACCATCACCATCACCATCACCATCACCATCACCATCACCATCACCATCACCACCATCACCATCACCATCACCATCACCATCACCATCACCATCACCATCACCATCACCATCACCATCACCATCACCATCACCATCACCATCACCATCACCATCACCATCACCGAGGAGGGGGTCCACCCGCACCCTGGGCCACCAACCCTCAGCCCTGACTGGGCCGCGCTGCGGGCCACTGCCGACGCGGGGCGGGAGCAGTCTATCCAGTCAGCCGTCGCTGCCCTGGGTGGCACGCGTGGCGTCGGCGGTGCAGCGGGAGCCGACGGAAGAGATGCTGGCGCTGCCGGCGCCGCTGGCGCGGCGGACACTTGCTACGGAGGAGGCGGCGGCGGAGGCCTTGGTGGCGTATGCCGTTTTGTGTGTTAACAACGGGGTGTCCGTTCCAGTGGCAGGCGTGCAACTGGACCCTGCCCTGGTGCAGCTCCGGCATGACCTCGGAGCGAGAGTGGCGCACCTCGAGCAGCTTCTCGGGACGACGCCGTCGGCCGACGAGGCCTTCGAGGAGGCGCGAGAGGGGCTGGAGGCTGAGGTCGGCATGCAGCCCCCCCCACGCGCACCGAGGCCCTGGAGAGCGACGCGCCCATGCCTCCAGGAGCCGGTGGGGCGAGCGAAGCCGGTGCTGACGTCGACCACGTCCGTGGGCGTGTCCTGACGAGGAGGAGGAGGAGGAGAAGGAGGAGGAGGAGGAGGAGGAGGAGGAGGAGGAGGAGGAGGAGGAGGAGGAGGAGGGGGGGAGGAGAGGAGGAGGAGGAGGAGGAGGAGGAGGAGGAGGAGGAGGAGGAGGAGGAGGAGGAAGGAGGAGGGAGGAGGAGGATGAGGAGGAGAGGAGGAGGAGGAGGAGGAGGAGGAGGAGAGGAGGGGAGGAGGAGGGAGGAGGAGGAGGAGGAGGAGGAGGAGGAGGAGGAGGAGGAGGAGGAGGAGAGGAGGAGGAGGGAGGAGGAGGAGGAGGAGGAGGAGGAGGAGGAGGAGGAGGAGGAGGAGGAGGGAGGAGGAGGAGGAGGAGAGGAGGAGGAGGAGGAGGAGGAGGGAAGAGGAGGGGAGCCAGCCCATCCTCGGGCGCGGCTGCTGCCGGTGGAGCCCCGATGCCGCTCAGAGGGGCGCTCAGAGGGGCGCTCGGCGAGGTGCAGCGCGACCTCGAACGGAGGACCGCTTATCTCGAGGTCTGCGCGGGGGACCGGCCTTGTGCTCCGACGCCGCTTGCGCAGCCGGCAGGGGGTGCTGGTGAGGTGCTGGAGGCGGAGGAGGTTGAGGCGGCGTTGGAGGCGGAGGCCGTCACGCCAGTATCGACGGCGTCGCGTGGGTCGATGTGGCGCTGGGAGGGGCACTTCGAGGTAGCTCCCTCGACCCCTCCAGGCGGCCCCGCCGTGCACGGCCGGGAGGCTGAGGAGAGAGGAGGGGTGTGGGGAGCAGCCGAGGAGATCGCAGCAGAGGGCTCTGCAGGTGGTGGAGGAGGCGCCGACGCTGACGCTGGGGCAGGTGGTGTCCGCGCTGCCGCCTCGCCTGGCAGGGCTATGGATGTCCTTGTCGAGGCGGATGCTCTGATGGAGCCCCCTGCAGCGCCGCTGCTTTGCACGCCTCGACGGCGGTCGACGCGGCAGGCTGTGGTGTGCAGAGACTGTCGCCGCCGCTGCGAGCGGAGGTGCACGGTCTGGTGGTGCCCCGCGTGCGAGCGGGCGGCTTGCAGGTCTTGCCACACCAGGCGGCGACGGGGGCTTGCTGGCTGCGGTTGTTCGGAACGAACTGCTGCCGAACGTCTGGGTGATGCTGCGCAGCTCGCGGCGCACGTCCAGCAGGCGCCCGCCGCCGGGCCCGCCCCCGCCGGCACGGCGCCATGTGCGGCTGCCTTGGAGGACGAGGCCCTTCCGCCTGCACTCATGGACGGCTCGGTGGCAGAGGGGGTGGACATCGCCGTGGTCCTTGAATCGTTGGCTGCGGCCGGCCCCACGCTCGGGACGGTCGATCTGGGCAGGTTGCCGCGGCATTTCCTTGCGCGCATCGCGGATGTATGCGCCGCGGCCATGGGCGAGTTCGCCGAGTTTTATTGTCAGCGCGGGCCCGCCGCAGAGGCCCATGCCAGGCGGGCAGCCTTGGTTCTTTACTTCCTGCCCACGCTCATGGCGCATCCGACGCCGAAGGCGGACGAAGAGGATGCTAGCGGGGTGCCTGCCGCGGAGGGTGGCCAGCCTGGGCGGGCGTTCAGCTCGGACGTCTGGCATCGCATCAAGCTCGCGGAGTGCTATCGGTTAGGCGAGCTGCTGGACATCTATTCCCGTTCGGTCCAGGCTTGGGCGGACCACAGCGCGCGGCGGCGTCTCGCTGCCAGTGCGCGGCCGCCCGCCTCCGCCAGCTAGACCCGGTTCAAACGGGTGGTGGAGGTGCTGCGGCGCAAGGGTGTTGCTCGGGCCCTGCCGATTTTACGGGCGTTGCCAAGCGCGCCCCACGACGAGGCCACCTTCGAGGCGATGCGCGACCTGGTGGATGTCCACGCCGAGGACGCCGCGCGGGCCCAGGTGCTGGAGGAGGCCTCGAGCATCCTTGCAGACGCAGGGGTGCGGCCGATCCGCGTCTCGCAGCGCGACGTGGTTCGGGAATCCTACGCGCTGAATGCTGCGGCAGCACCCGGGCCGAGCGGATGGTCAAATGCCATCCTGCTGCGGATCGTGCGTGCGCGGGCTGGCCCTGCGGCCCTTGCAGCTTTTGCGGGGGTGGTCACGCATGGGCTCCTGTCTGCAGCTGACGCGGTGCTGTGGGGCGCCGCTGTTATAGCACCTGTGAATCAGGGGCGGCGTCGGCAGGACGGTTCGTGGAAGTACCGTCCTGTCGGGCTCATGGAGGCGCCGTTGAAGTTCGCCGAGGGCATCGCTGTCAAGAAGCAGCTCGCCATGATCCGGCGGTGCGTGGAGCCTGGCGCCTTGGGGCTCACCCCAGAGGGCTGTGCATCAAAACGTTGCGGGCGTGGGCCGCGGACATGGCCGCTGCTACAGAGCCGAACCTTGCGGTGCCGAATGCGGGAGCCGTCGACAACGCGACCATCGTGAAGCTGGACTTGGAGAACGCATACGGGCGTTTGCACCGAGCTGGTGCGTTACGGCGCGTCCGATCGGCAGCGGCGCCCTTGGCCAAGCTCTTGGCCTCGCAATGGCGGGTTGGATCGTCGCGCATCTGGATTCGCGTCGATCGCGCTTGGCGCGCGGTGGACACATGGACAGGCGGGCGGCACCCAGGGATCCTTCCTCATTAAGGTCGTCTTCGACATCGTGGTCCATGCCATCAAGATGGACGCTATCGGCCGGGAGCGGCTCCGAGCCCCAGGCGGAATGCCTGCCAGCATCGGCATCGCGGATGACTGGTATGTCGCCGCTGCGGCATCGGCAGCCACGCGGGTTTTGGAAGACTTGGAGGTCCAGCTCGCAGCGGAGAACCAGCGGCTGCTTCCTGCCAACTGCACTGCGTATTTCCCTGCCGTGGATGCCGAGCTGGAGTCCCTCGGCCCCGCAGGCGAGGGCTTGAGCTGGCGCGTCTCGAGGTCGTTCGGGGGCTTGGAGGCGCTGGGGTCGGCGCTGCAGGGCCGCTGTGCTATGCGCGTCCGCGCGACTAGCGCTATCCAGGAGGAGGGCCCCGCGGAGGCGCGAGCCGAGGAGGTTTGCAAGCTGTGCCAGGCTCTGCTGGACATGATCCGTTGCAGCACTCACCCTGGCACTTGCCATGCTGTGTACACCATGCTGGCGCGGAGCGTTGCGAGAAGGCTGGATTATAACATGCGGCTGTGCCCACGGTGGGCGCTAACGCAGCGCGCGGCGGCAGCAGTGCAGGAGGTCTTAGAGGCGCTCGCGGCGCAGCGCCTCGACCTCGACAGCATGGCCATCGCGGGCGTGCACACCTTCCTCGGTGGCTTCGGCATCCGGCCGGCTGATTTGCCGCATGCGCGGGTGGCATATTGGGCTTGCCACGTTGCAGTCCAGGCTGATGCGACTGAGGCCGCGTCCCGGCTTGGGCGCCCTGCCGCGGTGCACCCCGACGCACCCCTCGCTGCCCGTGCGCGGGACGAGCTCGTCAGCTGCGGCCTCCAGCTCTGCCCCGGGCGCATCGACTTCACGGCCGATGCGCGGCTCGAGTATGAAGCCGGCCCCTGGGTTACCGAGCTGTCCGCGGAGGCCGTGTTTGATTTCCACGCCGAGGTAGACGATGCCCCTGGCGGCCATATGCCCCTGCTGCTCGCGAGCCAGGACCCTGCTACGGAGGGGCATGACTGGGGCGGTCGGCGGCGGCTTGCCGCGAGGGCGTACCGCCGCCTCGCCGCCCTCGCGGCGACGCGCCTCTGGGGCCGGCTGTCAGCAGCGCGCCAGGCACGCCTGCTGGCCGGCGGTGGGCTCGGAGCCGGTGTCTTCTGGAATGGCTTTCTGCGCGAGGGGGAGACGGCGCTCACCGACGCCGCTTTCGTGGTCATGTTCCGGCGCCGCCTTCTCCTCAACTTGCTGAGCGCCCCAGTGGCGTGCGCCTTCCGTTATTCGGGCGCCGCCAGCGACGAGCGCGCGGGCACGTGCTGTGGGCGGCCCCTCGACGTCGCGGGCTTGCATGCCTTGCAGTGCCCTGTTGGGCCACACCGCATGCGGCTGCACAACGAGATCGTGCGGACCCTGGCGGAGTGGATCTCATCGCACGGCGGTTACGCCGACTAGGAACGCTGCGTGCCAGAACTTTACCAGCAGGAGGCTGGCGGCGAGCTGCGCGAGGCCCGCTTGGACCTGGTGGTCAGTTGGCCAGGCATGCCAGTTCCAGTCTGGGTGGACGTTACGGTCCGCTCCGCCGATCCGTCGGGGCCAGCAGCACGCACGATCGGCCATGCCGCCATTGGCGCTGAGAGGCACAAGCGGGAGCGTTACGGCGACGCCGTCGTGCCCTTCGCTGTGGAGGCCGAGGGGCGGCTCGGCCCACAGGCGCAGCGCTTCGTCGCGGACATGGCAGCCGCGGCACGCCGCGTTGCAGTGCTCCCTGGCGAGGCGAGCGGGCGCCTGGGCAGCGACTTTGCGCGGAAGCTCTCGGAGCGGTGGTCAGGTGCCTTGACGGCCCCGATGGCCGACCTTCTGTTGGCCGCGGCAGAGGGCGCTGGCGTGGGGCCGTGGCTGGGGGCGCGCCAGCTGCTGGCGTAGAGGCTGCAGGCTGCTTGCATGTGGCTACCTCTACCTTTCGTTTCCCAGGGGATTGCGCTGTCACCATGACCATCACCATCACCCTCACCCTCACCCTCACCCTTACCATCACCACCAGCACCATCACATTTGCCATCACCATGACCATTATCATCACCATCACCACCACCACCATCACCAACACGACTACCACCATCACCCTCGCCCACCGCCCCTCACCATCCTCACTCACATCAGCAACAGCATCAGCATCAGCATCTGCATCTGCATCAGCGTCAGCATCAGCATCAGCATCAGAGATCTGCATGGCGGTGGTCCGCGCACTGGCAGAGAGCAGCCTGTGCGGGCATGGGGATACGCGGAGGACAAGATGCATTGAGACGCATAAGATAGTTGGCGCCATGTGTCGAACTTCCCTGGCAGAGGCATCAGCATCAGCATCAGCATCAGCATCAGCATCAGCATCAGCATCAGCATCAACATCAGCATCAGCATCAGCATCAGCATCAGCATCAGCATCAGCATCAGCACCAGCATCAGCATCAGCATGGGGTGCCCGGCCCAGCAGGGCAGGCACCCGCCCCGCGATTCTTGCCCACGCCCCTGCATCCCCAGGGCCAGCTCCTGTGCCCGAGACGCCGTGCTTCTTGCGCTCCGCGCGGCGGGCCCGGTGGCGCCGTGGGGGGTTGCGTCCGTCCGAGGCAGCTCTGGAGCAGGAGGAGCAGGAGGAGCAGGAGGAGGAGGAGGAGGAGGAGGAGGAGGAGGAGGAGGAGGAGGAGAGGAGGAGGAGGGTAGGAGGAGGGGGAGGAAGAGGAGGAGGAGGAGGAGGAGGAGGAGGAGGAAGAGGAGGAGGAGGAGGAGGAGGAGGAGGAGGAGGAGGAGGAGGAGGAGGAGGAGGAGGCGGACCAGACCTGTGGCAGTCGCGGCGCGGCTCCGTGCGCCTGGGGGCGCAGCCGAGAGCTGCGTTTCGCTGGGCACCCGGGACGGTTCAGGCTGCCCTGCGCTGCCGGCTCGGAGCCGCGACGAGTCGCTGGGCCGCGACGGCGTGGATGCAGGAGGGCGCCAGGCCGCCACGAGGAGCGGCACCGCCCTCTCGGCAGTGGGCGCGGCATTCCTCGAGGTCCTGCCGGATGGCCAGGTCTCCCTGCCTCAGTTTGCGGATGAGCGTCACACAGCCAGGCCCACGAGCCCCGCCCAGCAGGCAGCGTGGGTCGATGGGAAGGACCTCGTCGAGGGCGTGGAGCTCTGGTCATCCGGATGGTCATTGGACGCAGGCGCGAGCGAATCAGAGACAGACGCGATTTATCGACAAGGGGTGTGCGATGCCAGGTGCCAGCTTGTCTTTGACGCCAGATACAGTTTCTGGGACGTCTGTTCCTCCTGCCAAGGGGGGCGCAGTTAACGTGAGTCACCAGCTCGACACGGGCGGGGCCGCCGTCGTCGAGGACGCCAGCGCGAGTGGCAAGATGACAAGCCTGCCCCTGACACGTGATTCGGCGGCGAACGAGGGGGGAAGTGAAAAGGAGAAGGCCTTCTTAGAAGGCGGCGGGACTTCTCAGAAGCCTTCGCGCCTTTTGAGAAGTCTTCAGTGTCTCCGGGGAAGGCTCAGAAAACTTCTCAGAAGGCTGAGCTTCCGAGCCTTCTGAGAAGGCCTTCTCTTTCTCGCTTCCCTTCTGGGCTCGCCGCCGAGTGATGGGGGTGGGCAGTCTGCTGTCTGCTGTCGAGGCCCTCCGCCACGTCCTGTCGCAGGGGTGCGGCGCTTTCCCAGTCAGGTGTGGACGGCTCTGCTCGCCACGGCTCTTGTGGCAGGTACCAACGCGCGCGATGTGTATACATGTTTTTATACACATGTGTATGTATGTATGTATGTATGTATGTATGTATGTCTGTATGTATGTATGTATGTATGTATGTATGTATGTATGTATGTATGTATGTATTTTTGTATGTATGTATGCATATATGTAGGTATGCATGCATGCACACACATACATCCATACATATATATATATATATATGTGTATGTATGTACGTATGCATGTATAAATGCATGCATGCATGCATGCATGTGTGTATGCATGCACGTATGTATGTATGTCTGTATGTATGTAGGTATGGATGTATTTATTGGTGTATGTATGCATGCATGCATGTATGCATGTATGTGTTTGTATGCGAGTATGTGTGTATGTGTGTATGTGTGTAGGATTGGATGTGTGTATTACTGTATGTGTATACATAAAGAGGTATGTATGGATGCATGCATGCATGCATGCATGTATGTATGTATGTATGTATGTATGTATGTATGTAGGTACATGTGCATGTATGCGCGTATGTATGACTGTATATATATGTATGTATGTATGTATGTATGTATGTATGTACGTACGTATGTATGTATGTATGTATGTATGCATGCATGCATGCATGTATGTATGTATGTATGTATGCATGTGTGCATGTATGTATATGTGTATGTATGTAGTTAGTTATGCATATACACACGCATATAACCAGTGTTGTTTGTATACATGCATGCGTGCATTTACGTATGTATGTACATATGCATGCATGTATGCACACATGGGTGTACGCATGCATGCATGTATGTATGTCGGTCTGTCTGTCGGCCTGTCTGTCTGTATGTATGCATGTACAGATGTATGTATGTATGTATATATGTATACATATACACACGGCGTATATGTACGCGTGCATGCATTGATGTCTGTATTTCCGGTGGCGAGCAAGGGGGGGAACATGAAAAGGAGAAGGCCTTTTTCTGGAGGCGGCGAGACTTCTCAGAACCCCTCGCGCTTTCTGAGTTTGTTTTGGTGTTTCTGGTAAGGCTCAGACAACTTCTCAGACGGCTGGGGGACTCGAGCCTTCTGAGAAGGCCCGCCCCTTCTCACTCCCCCCTTCGCTCGCCGCCGACTTGTGCATGTAGGTGGAAGATGCAACATCTACTGGTAGGTCTGTTTGTATGTAATTAAATATGCATACACACATACATATATATATATGTATATAGATATATATATATAGATATATACACATATATACATATATGTATGTAATTGTATATGTATATGTATATGCATATGTATATGTATATGTATATGTATATGTATATGCATATGTATATGTATATGTATATGTATATGTATAGGTATATGTATAGATATATGTATATGTGTATGTATATGTATATGTATATTTATACGTTTATGTATATGTAGATGTATATGCATATGTATTGATACATGTATATGTATATGTATACGTATATGTAGATGTATATATATATACACACGGCGTCTAGGTCCCTTGACTCTGGGGCAGTGCATTTTTTCCAAATCCCCCCGGGTACCAACTTTCGGCCCGTGGGTTCGAAGAGCCGTCAAAGACACAATGTCGACATTCGAACGGCGCCAGCATACCGCCAAGATGACCAAATCGTGCCCAAGACGGGCCGGGATGGTGTGCATGTCGCCCCCCGACGCCTTCAAGGCGGTCCAAGAACGCTCCAAAGAGCACCTCCAAGATGTGAGAATCAGTGTTTCTCTTAAGGCCTAACGCTTGCTTGTTTGGTTTTCAGAGCGTCCGAGACTGCCCACGCGGCACATAGATCGCCCCAGAGCGTCTCACAAACGGGCGCCGAGAAGGCTCCAAAAAGGGCCCAAGAAAGCTCAAGAGCGCCACACGATGCCCCAACATGTTCCTTGGAGAGACTCCTGTAGGGATTCCTAGGGATTCCTAAGGATTCCTGAGGATTCCGAGGGGTTCCTCGGAATTCCTATGGATTCAGATGGATTCCTAGGGTTTCCTCAGCATTCCCAAGGACTCCTCGGGATTCCTTGGGAGTCCCAGGGAGTCCTGGGGATTCCTAGGGATTCCCAGGGATTCCTAGGGATTCCTAGGGATCCTCGGGATCCCTAGGGATCCCTAGGGATTAGGGATTCCTAGGGATTCGTAGGGATCCTAGG